TGGCTATTATTGGCTTTGGCTTTGAGGTTTTCGTTCATAATAAACAATGGGCCCCTAGCCAAGAAACCTTGTGGTTTATACTCACATCCTCATGATTAAATGTTACAAGTGATTTCCCCTCATATTCTTCCGATCACCTAGGAGCTTGCTTTCTGCTTCTTACGTGAATCACATCAGAAGCACACCCGTAATTAGACTGTGATCCGTGGACTTTCCATTGCAGCGGAAAACATTGTGATGACCTCACTCTGCTTTGAGTGTTAGAAGGAGTTGCAGAGACATAGGCTAGAGCTTAGTCAGAAGAAAGTAGAAGTCCCCTGACACTTTGAGTCTCTGACACAGACAGTGTACCGTAAATGCCCTTTAGAAGACTGCAGTGGGTGGGGAAGGATTTGCTCTCACTGGCTGCTCTGGATGGAAACCCTGAAGGGCACTCACTTTCTTTGGATTTTTGTCATCGTGCTGGAGTACACACTTGCCATAACTCAGATTGTACAAATAATCTGAAGAATTTCTTCTAAAGTACCAAAGTCAGTGCGCCATGAAAGCAAGAAGGAGGGCTATTCTGGGGGAAAGACAGCAGAAGGAAGCCAGATCACAGGGCGGGAGACGACGAAGAATAAAATGTAATGCCGCGTACTATGCAGATGCAGTAGTGAAAGCCTTTACTTTGTATACTAACTCCCAAAAAGAACTTCAGCCAACTCAGGAACACCGAGAACAGGAGAAATGGTCTTCCTCAGAGAGGAGCACACCACTGGCTACGCAATACCATGTGGTCAGCCCTGAAAACATATACAAATAACCTCATACAGCCTAAGCAAGTGATATATAGAAGTATAGAAACATATATATGTACATATATGCATGTAACAAGAACTAATGAAAAAAGAGACCATAAATTTCAAAGAGAGCAAGGAAGAGTATTGAAGGGCTTTAAGGGGGGAAAGGGAAGGGGTTATGATGTAATTATAATTTCGAAAATAAATGATACAAAAGTTTTAGACTATTTTTTTTACATTAGCACAAAGCATCACCAAATTATAACTTGTAGGTTTGATGGACATTTGCATAAGCTTCTATATTAGCTTCACAAAATCATATTTCCTTGTAACAAATGCAGGATATACTGGAAATGTGACAGAGCAAGAATAAAAACAAAAAGCATTCCTTTGATTAGTTTATTTAGTGGTTGACAGCAGTCATTATATTGAAACTTAGTTGTCCTTGATAATCCAATGAGCTGTTACCAAATTTAATGAGATGAAAAACTCTTACTGGAAAGAGTTAACTAAACAGAAGATGCAAGTTTCACATCAGCCTTCTATATGTTTAGCTTTTAGGTTAGCACATCAAAATGGCTAATATTAATTAATTAATTAATGGCTAGTAGAAGAACAGCTGTGGGTGACGTTGGTTTGAGTAAAGTACTCACTAAACAGGATCTCCTTTGAAACTATGGTATCCCTGTGAACCTGCTGGATTTACAGTGTTCTCTTTATTTCTTTTAAGCCATTGCCTTCTCCTGTTCTCAGATAGGGTAAGGGAGATGAATCTGTCATGAGGCTGTAAATTCAAGGAACTGGCTATTAATAATCAGAGAATAAGGGGCTGCAAAGATGGCACATAGGTTTAGAGCATTGATTGCTCTTCCAGAGGACCTGGGATCAATTCCTACAAGTCATATGGTGGTTCAAGACTACTTATAACCCTAGTTCCAGGGCATCCAGTGTCCTTTCCTGGCATCTGCAGACACCAGGCATGCACATAGTGCAGATACACATACAGGAAAACACCCATGAACATAAACAAAGAAACAAACAAAGGTAAGATAAGAAATGATAGGCAATATAAATGCCTTCTTGAAGAATGTCTCTCTTGCACTTTGTAGCTCTGAACTGCTGCTTTCATTGTCCATGTGCTTTGGCTTGCTACACTGTTTCTCATAGACATACAGGATGGAGACTGCGCTAAGAGCAGTATACTAATTCTACTTGTTTAAGCAGCTCAGAAAAGAATACACACTTAGTAGACTTAAAAGATATATTGTTGCTGTTCGTTTCCTCCTGGCTCCAAAAGCAAGGTTTCTAGACCAGCTTTAAGTTGTTTTCAAATGCATTAATACTTTGTCCGTCTGCATGTTCACATCGCTCTTCCTTGTCATTGTTGATTTATTTTTATAGTGCTTTCATGTGCCAAGGGCAAATTAGGCCAGCCATTCCCTAGAGAAGAAATCTGCTCAGTCTATTCTTAACTGTGTGATTGCCCAATCATCTCTGTTCTTCATTGTCTTGGTCAAGTGGTGACTAAAAAATCTGTTTAAAATGCCCCAAGATAGACCTGAATTGAATTATTAAGATCATTCTCATGTGTGGAATTACAAACTTTTTACAAAGAGTAACTTGAGGAAATGAACTCAAAGGCAGTCGCTGCTCTGAGGAAAGCTGCACGGTTGAAAGCCATGCTTGTCTTGCTGCATTCGTTCCTGTAAAGCACATTTGTCAGGTGATAGATGTTCCATCAGCTAGCTGGAAAAAAATTTTTTTAAGAACCTTTTCTTTATATAGCAAAAACCAAAGAACTCTTATTAAAGGTTCTAAACTATTCTTTTCAAGTTTTGGTTTGGGGCAATATGGGTCGTTTGGGAGCCCCATATCATTCGCTATGTTTCACTCTCCAGAATAAAGGTCTTTCCTTAAAGATGGCCTGAGAGCAAAGCTCGGTGTGCTTTGTCATCTTCAGTAGTTTTGTACAGCTTCTCCAGAGGAGAAATACCTCCTCCATGTTGGAACAAGTCACACCTCTTGTTAAAGAGACACAGTCTTATGCCTCCACCTCATTACAGGGTCCTGCTGTCCTCTTTGCTCCCCACTCTGTGAGCAGGATGGAGAGTTTGGAGATGTCCACTGTGTCCACTGTCCAGGGAGGGCTTTAGAGTAAGCACTTAGAACAGTTTGTAGCACTTTGATATATTTGATGAATCTACCAAAATATTTTTGTAAATATTTTAGTTTATTATTTGATAGCACCTTATGAGTACATAATGTGCTTTGATTATCTTCATCCCTGTTACCTCTCTTCTCCCTCTGAAACCTTCTTTCCAACAAATCCCCTTCCTACTTTTAAGTTGTGTGTGTGTGTGTGTGCAGGTGTTTGGAGGCTAGAAGATGTCAAATGTCCTATTCTATCACTCTCTGCCTTGTTACCTTGACAAAGAGTCTGGCACTGAACTTGGAATTTGACTAATGGCTAGCAATCCCAGTCATCCTCCTGTACCCGTGCCCACCCCCCTACTTGCCAGGCACTTAAGTTATAGCATCTGCATACTTGTGTCCAGCTTGTACCTGGTACTGAGGATTTGAACTCAGATCTCATGTCTTTGCAGTAAACAGTTGTACCCATGGAGCTGTCTTCTCAGCTTCCAGTGCCAAGTTTCATGTTGTTATGTATCCTGTCACCCCTTAGTTCTGAGCCTTCTCATGTTGTGCTCGGTTTTGATTATGTTCACTCATCAACTTTGAGACATAGTTTATATACAGTACAGTATAAAGTACAACCGTCTCAAGTTTTGGCAGAAACATACACTTCTGTAACCAATACTTCAATCTCTGTCCATAAGAACATTTTCTCCTGCTTCTGTACAGCATGACTCCCTGCCTGTTGTTTTTCTGTGCCATCAGCCTTTTTCAAGTACTCTTGGAAGTAGGGGACTATGTCTGAGTAACCCCTCGGGTGAAGCAGCTCTATCTCCAGGAGCCTCACTGCTGCGTCTCAGTACTTAAGTCTCCTTACAGTTGACAGTGGTGACTTGGTGGCTTGTGAAATGTAGCCAGAGAGCCTTAGAAGCTCACCCCCCCTTTATAAGTAAAATATTAATTTCAAAGGCTCTTTTAAGCTTACACATTTGTTCCTCTGTAGATTTGTTCAAGGACCAGCATGTTACCTTTTGTTTGCTTACTTTTTTGTTTGCTATATGTTACCTTTGCTGGAAGGTAACATATAGCAAACACCAAATTTCTTGGCTATGGCACATTTGAAAGCCCATGGTTTTTCTTTCTAGTAACTGGGGTCTATGAAAGTCTGCAGCTGTCTTTTGGAATGTTAGATCTGTGACCTGTGTGTAGATGTCATAACAGTATCTTGAAGTGATAAGGAGTTTAACCTACTGGATTGGTATGAGAAAAGCTTTGGCTCTAGGTAGACGGAAGTAGCTTGAGTAGTAGTTACTTTATGACCATTTGACATTTTCTTGGAATTGTTTTTTTTTGGAATGGAGAAATGGGAATGTCATGGAGCTAGGTGTGCTTGCAGAGCACTGGAGATGCTCCCACAAGGCTTGCTTGATGACTGGTGTGATGTTTAGCAGTGTGACACTATGGCAGTGTTACCACTGTGGTCAATGCTATGTCCTAAATGATATTGTGGCATTTCCATGCATTGATCTGGGAGAGGAATCAGTTGGTGCCCATTTGTTTTCCTTTAAAGTTTTTTACTGAAAGGAGTCACTGCATGTTTGTTATTATTTGAAACTTGCCAGATAAGAGAACTGTGAGCACAAATTCTTCCATTTGCACCATAGTCACATGGACTACGTAAGTCTAAGACAGCCTGGGTAGGTGTGAGTAAATACCATGTAGGGTCTTGTGTGGTAACCATATGGCATATCCTTCCAACTGGTCACACTTTGCCTCAGTTAGCAGCAGAGGGAGGTTATGATACATGAGGGGCCACTGGATTGATTCATTTTCATATTATTTGAGGGAAGGACAACACACAGTGTCTACCACAGAGGGAAAACTGTCAAAAAAAATATTTGGCTCTTTTCCTGAACATAATTAAATTTTCACTATGCTTTTCTTTTGCCAGAAGTTTAATGATTTATATTTAGTAATTGAAATGCAATCAGTTCCCCAGACTTGCTCCTGCTTGATCAAAGAGACAACGCCTAATACAAGAAATACCAACTCACAGTTTCCTCTTCTTTTTAACTTTTGTTTTAGAACTCAGCCAAAAACCATGTTTGCCCAAGTGGAATCTGATGATGAAGAGTCAAAGAATGAACCAGAGTGGAAAAAACGTAAAATTTGAAGAATCTCATTTAAGAGCTATTTGCATGGAGCAACAGGAGAGGATACAGTGGGCTTTCACCCACCCCCAATGCTTATGAAATAAAAGTACATTTTTACAAACAGATTTTGTCCTTTCTGTAATTGAGTTGTTCAAAGGTTGGTAAGTCTTCATGCTGCTTTTTCTTACATTTCTTAACTACAATTATTAGATTGTGCTCCATGTACAAAAGAACAGACTTGGCCTATTACTAAGTAGTTTAGGTCTTTTGAATCTTTGTTTAATAATTACTGATCTTGTACAGATTCCCATTGAGGGGAAAATGTACGATGTGCTGTATGTCTTTCTTGAACTAATCTAGGAACATAATATGGAAATATGGAATCTAAAGGCTTAATATTTCTGTACAGTGTCACAAGAGTTGTTTACATGACTGTAAATCATTAGATGAGATCAAACCGAGCCGTGGCTGTGCCAGGCAAGAGCATGCATCTGGTTATGTCTCACTGTAGCCTGCGATGCTCAGAGTGGAAGAGTGTGCTTTGAAGTCAGACGATGGCAGGAGCTTTGCCCTTTGGTTCTTTCTTCTGGCCTCATGGTGGTAATACTTACCTGTGGGTTTGTCAAGAGGGCTAAAGGAAATGCTGATGTAGAGATTTGGCACAGCACCTGGTATATGGTAAATCTATACTAAATATTTGCTATTTTCAGATATTATTAGCAATATCACTTTGTCTTGTTTTTTTTTTTGGTCAGTAGTCAATTAGAAAGGCATGAGAGTGCTTTGAAAGTACAAGAGCTGTAGAAATAAAAAAAATTAAGAATCATTCTAAAAGTTGTATTTGTAAATAGAAAATGAAAACAAATGTTGGATGATTGTCCAAAGTAATAGTGAGTCAATAGAATAAAATTTTGTGGGCAAATTTCCCATACGCATGGGCCATGTTTGCACGTTAAGTAAGCCCCACTAGGCAATTGAGTTTTAATTTTTGTCTTTTACCCTCCTGTTCTTATTTGCTCTAGTGAATTAAATAATTATAAAATTAATTACAAGACAAAAATATGCCCCCAAATCCTGGGTCTATGTACTTCATCCCACTCCTCTTTTAGAAAAAAAAAAAAAAATCTAGTTTAGCAAACTCATACCCGGCTCTTTTATTGCTAAAGTTTCCAAGGGTGGTGGTAGCCACTCTATAGATAAAACTTTAGAGACTTCAGTCTTGTCCTTTGACCTTCACTTATGACCCATCCCCTCCTCTTTGGGACTTACACCTTTAACATCACAGGTGATAAGAGAAAGAACTAGTGTTGGCTAAATATGAGGTACAAGGTAAGTCCTACCTTGCCTTCTTGCATTAAATGGCTGGATTCCCACAGAAGCCTCATGATGGATACAATTACTATAGCAGCTTTGATGAGCCACAGGGGTTCCAGTCAGTCTATACAAGGTCACAGCCATGGAGGGCTGTATGAAGACTCGGGGGTCTCTCTCTAGTGTAATTAACAAATGCCCCCAATTTCTTGTTCCCCTTGAGATGCACTGTATCCGAAAATCAGTCTCAGACCAATACTTTGTTCCACATGCTTAGAATTTATAAACTTCTTGCATCAAGGATGAAATTTATCAAAAGTTACCACATACATCATTACTACCACCCCACGGCCAACATAAACATCACACTGTATTCAGCATGTACATCCAAAGATTGCTGTGCTGGTAATGAGTAGGAATAACCACTTGATCATAGTTGTCTTGGCAGCATCTACACTGATGTAAGGACAGAGAAAGACAAGCATGAGCAGGATTTTCTCACCACTATTCACATGTGGGTGGGCCTTTCCATGTTTGAGATTCTGTGTCCCTGTGGAGCTAAATAGAGAATTATTTCTACTATAGAAGGTTGGCGCACATATAAGGATTTCAGTTTTGAATTTGTTGAAGAAGGACCTTAGAACCAGGACTGAACAAATAGAGAATGTTCATTTGACCTGTGTTTCTGTCCAACACTCTGGACATCACCGACCAACTATCCAAGGCTCAGAACTCATTACCTGTCACCATAAAACCTTATGTCGCCTACTGTGATTAACTGTGTTACTGGTTACTCAAAGGAGGAACTTGGAAGCATTGACATGATGCTAACTCCCACTTCCTAACATTAATTATGTGCCATTTTTGCACATGCTCTGTAAGTCTCTTACATTTCCCGTCTCTTTACCAAAATTTAGGCCCTTTTACAACCATCAGCATTGCTCCAGAGCCTCCTTCCCAACTAATCTGTTTCCAGTCTGGCCCTTCTCTAGTCTATCCATGATAAACTTCAGAGTTAAACCAAAAATCTGGCTAAATTACATCTATTCAAACCCTAAATCTGTCCTCTTATTCCTTTGCCAAGAACTTCCCAGAGTCAGTAATTCTCATCCATTTGTGTGGCATAGACACAAATCAAGATTCGGCCTCTTGTGCCTTCCTTGTGTAGACTTCTGCCAATTTCACATATTTCTAAGGTCCAGTCTCATTCTGTATAGAAGGTATGCCAACTTTCAGCCCCCAAATCTTTACCATTGTTACCCTCTCTCTTCCCTGTCTGCTTGGAGAATTTCTTCCTTATTTTTGAGATGGGAATCCATATCATTTATCCATATCATTTTCCCTGAGCATGGCTCACCCAAGCAGTCTCTTCCTCTGCTCTCATGATTGCCCACACACCTTCCTACTATCACCTCCATTTATACACCTACATGGTTTTGTGAGCCGTGTGTGTGTGTGTGTGTGTCTGTGTGTGTGTGTAACTCCAGGATATCCAGTGCCCTCTTCTGCCCCTCATGAATACTAGGGACACAAATGGTATATAGACATCCATGAATGCAAAACTCCCATACATACCAAATAAAATGGGAATAATGGGAAAAATTGACCATACTGATAGATTTAATATGACCACAATTCTTTGACATTCATACTAGTGCCAATTTTACCAGTCCCAGGTGAGCCCCTGGCCTTCAGAAGTTTGCACATTCTTTCTCTTGGGACCTCTTTTCTAACAACGAGGTAGCTGTGATGTAAGAGAAAAGCTAATGACTCCAAACTGGACAGGAAGTAAAGGCTTGCTGATGACCAAGCTCCCCATCTGACACCATTCCATTTCTTTTTAGGGAGGATCTTGTTATATATCCAAGACTGACCAAAACCTCATGATCCTACTGCCTCTGCCTCCTCCAGTGCTGGGATTATAGGTGTGAGTTACCACATCTTGGCTTCTACTCTCTTATAAAACAGATCGTTTGGTTCCAGTTGAGTCATACCAGCTGTGGCCACATGGAGCAGTGATGAGTCAGCCCATATAGACTTCTGACTAAGATGTAAATTAGTGAACAAGATAACTGATCATTATCACTCGAAGCTGCTGAGCTGTGAGACTGTGATATAGAAATACACAACTAGAACAGCTTTACAGATAACTACTAACCAGTAGGCCACAAGTAGCACTAACTAATGTTCTGATGAAGCAACTCTGAATGTTCCTATTGAATGTAGTTTAGCGAGTTATTTTTTTCTACTTCTTAAAGCTTAATTACAATAATACTTAGGAATAGAATCCTTACTTTCCACTTGTTAAACATGTAAAATTTGCAATATACAAACTTTATGTAGTTTATATATACAGTATATATAGCCTTTTAGCCCATTATGCATATATATATCATCTTTACTCCCCTGTTACTTTAAATATAGATTGTTTTTAAACTGGCTATGACAGATAATACTTCCCTGACTTGGAAGGTGCCATACCTTAAGCATTTTATGCATGCTAGGATTATTTTGTTAGAAGCTGATACCAAAAAATAGAATTATGTAGGCTCAGGAAAATTGTCTCATCTTTGCTAAACATAGTCATTGTCATCTTAGCACTTTGCCAATGGATGCCCAACTATCAAGGATGAAGATGGTTCTGGACAAGTCAGCTGGCATAGTGCATTGGATAGTATCCTTCTGGAATCCATGTCCACCCAGAACCTTAGAATATGACTTTATTTGGAAGACTCTTTGCGGATATTGAGTTAAGATGAGATCATACTAGATTAAGGAGGGCCTGCAATCCAATGGCTAGTGTCCATATAAAAACAGACAGAGGCACATACACAGAGGAAAAGAAACAAAAGAAATTAATAGTGATGTAGCTACTAGTCAAGGAATGCCAAAAGTGGCAACTGCAAGTTAGGAAGAGGCAAAGAAGCAAGGAAGGATTCCTCCCTGGAGTTGTAAGAGGAAGGATATCCCTTCCTAGATTCCTAGATTTCTGATTTCTGGCCTCCAGAGCTATGAGGGAATAAACTCTGAGGGAATTTCTGTTGTTTTAAGCCGTTCCATCTGTTGCAATATTTTCAGCAAGTCCTAGAAAACAAGTACACTTAGCAACGTGATGTGAAGAAAAGCTTGGGTCCAGATGAGGCTGCACAAGGTTTGTATCACCCCACTTCATGAGAGACTCAGAAAAGAATGAATGAAGAAAAAACAAAGACACATACAAGAGATGCTTAGTGTCCAACGTTAAGATTCAGAACTCTCTCCAACCTCCTTTAGTGTGGACTTGGATAATGATTTTCTTCATCTACTAAATTTTGAAGCAATTTTGTTATATAGCAACAAACAACTAATACATTTTCAAGTTTGGATGATTGTTCTTAGATTTTGAATACCTAGCCCCCAGTCTGGGACTTCTTGCTCTGTCTTCTCAGGTGATGCACTAAGAATTTTTCTTATGGCAATGTAATTTGATTACTTGGGCTCACCTCTAGACTGTTTGTTCTTTAGGATAGGCCAAGTTTCATGAATCTTATGACATGGATTGGCCTGGTGATTATAGCTCAGGGAGATAAATGTATTTTTTTCTTTGTATTCTTTTAAGGCAGCAAATTTGCTGTCTCCTTCCCTTTCCACTCCTTACCATGCACAAGCCCCACTAGTTTACCTGATAGTGGTTATCAAACCACTATAGCTTCTACAGTTGATTGTATCCTTTGGACATACAGAGAAAACACTGTAGTTTCCTAACCCCAAGTATCCTTGGACCTGTGAACAAATCTTCGCTGCTGAATAACCCAAGATGGCTTTACTGTTTTTA